GATCCTAAACCTGCTCTTTGTGATCCTAACCTGCTCCTAAACTGCTCTTTGTGATCCTAAACCTGCTCTTTGTGATCCTAACCTGCTCCTAAACCGCTCCTGTGCTCCTAAACCTGCTCTTTGTGCTCCTAAACCCGCACTTAAACCACTCTTTGTGCTCCTAAACCTGCTCTTTGTGATCCTAAACCCACTCCTAAACCTGTCCTGTGTGCCTAAACCCACTCTTTGTGATCCTAAACCTGCTCCTGTGTACCTAAACCCACTCTTGGTTGCCCTAAACCCACTCCTGTGTACCTAAACCCACTCATTATTGCCCCAAACCCACTCGTTATTGCCCCAAACCCACTCTTGGTTGCCCAAATCTGCTCTTGGTTGCCCAAGCCCGGTTTTTAGGGGGAGCCCCGTCAGTCTCCAGCCCCCCCTGGGCTGCGGGGACCCCCAGGCAGGGCAGGAGCGTGAGGGTGCTCAACCCTGGACTTCAACTGAAGTTAATTATCGTTAATTGGGCCGGGTGGCCAGGGGGCTGCGGCGACATGTACGAGATCCACGTGGAGTCGGAGGAGTTCCGGGAGAAGCGGCCGGTGCAGCAGCACAGGATGGTGACACAGGTGGGGAACGGGCACGGGAGAGGGAACGGGGAACGGGGAGAGGGAACGGGGAGGGGGAATGGGGAACGGGGAGAGGGAATGGGGAATGGGGAAATGGGGAACGGGGAGAGGGAACAGGGAGAGGGAATGGGGAATGGGGAGAGGGAATGGGGAATGGGGAGAGGGACGGGGAGAGGGAACAGGGAACGGGGAGAGGGAATGGGGAACGGGGAGAGGGAATGGGGAATGGGGACAGGGACGGGGAGAGGGAATGGGGAATGGGGAGAGGAAACGGGGAACAGGAACAGGGATGGGGAGAGGGAACAGGGAGAGGGAATGGGGAATGGGGAGAGGGAATGGGGAGAGGGAACGGGGAGCGGGGACAGGGACGGGGAGAGGGAATGGGGAACGGGGAGAGGGAACGGGGAACGGGGACAGGGACGGGGAGAGGGAACGGGGAGAGGGAACGGGGAGAGGGAATGGGAAATGGGGAGAGGGAATGGAGAGAGGGAACGGGGAGAAGGAATGGGGGAGAGGGGACAGGGAGAGGGAACAGGAGAGGGAATGGGGAGAGGGAACGGGGAACGGGAACAGGGAACAGGGAGAGGGAATGGGGAATGGGGAGAGGGAATGGAGATGGAATGGGGGAAAGGGGATGGGTGAGAGGGACAAGGAACAGGGAGAGGGAACAGGGAATAGGGAGAGGGAACGGGGAACGGGAGAGAGGATGGGAAGAAGGAGAGGGGATGGGGAATGGGGAGAGGGAATGGGAGAGAAGGAAGGGGCAGAGGGCCGCCGTGGGGCCGGGGTGCAGCAGCCCTGGGTGCGGGGCCGCTCCCGAGCCGCGCTCGCCCGCAGGCGCTGAGCGAGGAGATCAAGCACATGCACGGCCTGCGCATCTTCACCTCGGCCCCCAAGGCCTGAGGCTGCCCCGGGCCTGAGAACGGCCCCGGCAGAGAGCCCAGCCCCAAAAACGGCTCCAGGAAGGAACCAGGGCTGCCCCCAGCCCCAAAAACGGCTCCAGGAAGGAACCAGGGCTGCCCCCAGCCCCAAAAACGGCTCCAGGAAGGAACCAGGGCTGCCCCCAGCCCCAATAAAGAGCTGCAGGACAGGCCCAGGGCTGCCCCCCTGGCTGCAAAACCCTCCCAGTGTTTGTGTGTCCAGTCCTTGTGGGATGGGAGGAGGGGAGAAACTCCTTTTCCTCCGAAAGAAGAGCGGGAAGGAAGTTTATTATTAATATTTTATTATTCTTTTATTATTATTCAGGGCCAGGACAGGGACAGGACAGGGACAGGGCCAGCCCACCCTGGGGCCTGGCACTTCTCCTCCTCACCCGAAGGCGATCTTGGGGCTCTGTGCCAAAGTGCACCTCTTTTATCCCAAAAAAACCCCAAAACAAAAATCACCTGAGCCACTCCGGGCATCCTTGGAGCCCAGGAGGCTCCTCCCAGCCCCATTTCAGGAGGTCCCAGTCTGTGGGGAGGGGTCTCTGGGGGTCCCAGCCCCATTTTTGGGGTCCCAGCCCCATTTCGGGGGTCCAAACCCCATTTCAGGGGTCCCATTCCTGGGTGTCCCAGCCCCATTTCGGGGGTCCCAGCCCCATTCCTGGGGGTCCCAGCCCCATTTCAGGGGTCCCAGCCCCATTTTTGGGGATCCCAGCCCCATTTCGAGGGTCCCAGCCCCATTTTCGGGGATCCCAGCCCCCTTTCTGGGTGTCCCAGCCCATGGGGAGGGGTCTCTGGGGGTCCCAGCCCCATTTCGGGGGGTCCCAACCCCATTCCTGGGGGTCCCAGCCCCATTTCTGGGGTCCCAGCCTCATTTCGGGGGGTCCCAACCCCATTCCTGGGGGTCCCACCCCATTCCTGGGGGTCCCAGCCCCATTCCCGGGGGTCCCAGCCCCATTTCGGGGGTCCCAGCCCCATTTTGGGGGTCCCAGCCCCATTCCTGGGGGTCCCAGCCGCATTCCTGGGGGTCCCACCCCATTCCTGGGGGTCCCAGCCCCATTTCGGGGGTCCCAGCCCGCGGGGAGCTTTCCCGCCGCCGCCGGCTTTGGCTGAGCCCCATTGGCTGCCGCCGCGGGGGCGGGGCCTGCCGGCTATATAAGCGGCCGGAAGCCGCGCTGCCCTCAGTGCCGGCCCAGCGCCGCCATGGCCGCCGCGCTCCGGCCGCTCCGCGCCCTCGGCCGCGCCGCGCCGCCGCCCCGCGCCCGCCGCCTGCAGCTCAGCGCGGCCCGGTACGGCCGGGACACCGGGGGGGACAGCGGGGGGGAGCGGGGACACCGCGGGGGACAGCGCCCGGCGCGCTGAGGGCTGCGCGGGCCGAGCCCCGGCCCGGTTCGGGCGGGCCCCAGCGGCCGCGGCGGGCGCTGCAGGCTGATGAAATCCCCCCGCGCCTTGCGTGAGGGACGGGACGGGACCGGCCCTGGAGCCCGGGAGAGGGGCGGAGGGAACGGGGAGAGGGGTGGAGGGAAAACGGGGAGAGGGATGGAGGGAACGGGGAGAGGGATGGAGGGAACGGAGTGAGGGATGGAGAGAAAATGGGGAGAGGGATGGAGGGAAAATGGGGAGAGGGATGGAGAGAAAACGGGGAGAGGGGTGGAGAAAACAGGGAGAGGGATGGAGGGAACGGGGAGAGGGGTGGAGGGAAAAGGGGAGAAGGATGGAGGGAACGGGGAGAGGGGTGGAGGGAACGGGGAGAGGGATGGAGAGAAAAGGGG